AACTAGTTCCGATGCCAGTTGATACAAACTTCATCTGACTTGCTACGTAACCCATAATACGACAAGTGCCAAGGATCTAAATTAATGGTACTCAAGTTTTGATAGTGGAATTAGGTAGAATGACACCACAATCATGAAGAGGCCAAAGAGAACTCTCTCTCAATCTTATTTGCTGGAAAATTGTCAAACCCTTACAAAGTAAAAGCAAGGCCATTTATAGCCAAAGGTCCTAAACTAGTCCAAATCTGAATCAGACATGGATTGCATCACTTATTGAAATTAAATAACTAATCTAATGGCACATATAGCTAGTATAACTGGCCAATTTTCTCTACTACAAGAAATTTGGCCTTTTGTGACAACATTCTCAGTGACAAAAGAGAAACTAGTCACAATTGAGAAAATATAGTGATGACTTTTGATGTCGTCATAGTTGACTGTGGGTACACACGTCAACAGTGACAACACTGGATAAGTCGTCAGAATATGGATGGCGCGCAACTAGCCGGTGTGGCGGGAGATCACCATTGTGACGACTGTAAAATAGGTTGTCACTGAAATAGGTCCTATAGTGACAACTTAAAATGTCATCACAACATGGTTGTCTACTCAGAATTAATGACAACAACTAGTCGTCACTATCCAAAGTGTTTGTTCCTAACTCACTTTCACTGATTCTACTATGTCACCCTAATTTTTTCAATATGGCCCATATGTTGTAAATAAATTTTATTAATTCTACTATGACACCCTAACTTTTACAATTGAACCCCGTATGTGGTAACTAATCTCATTAACTCTACCATGACTGTAACGACCCCACCTCCCCCTAAGACGAACCAGAGGGTTCGGCGGGCCGCCTGCCCAACTCTCGCCGGGACTCAGTCGTTCACTACAATCCTCAAATGAATTACAAGAATAAACCTCAAATATTACAATATAAATCTCATATATTACATCAAATTCCTCAAGAATTACATATCAAAAGCGAAGCGTCCACGCTTCCACTGCGCCACGCTGATCCTTGATACCAACTATTATACAGGAGGAAGTCCAAAGCTAGACTATTACACATCCAATCAATTCTAAACATTCAATACAATCCCAATATGAACGATTACACAAAAGGAAATCCAAGTTCAATCCATACATGATATAATCCATGATAAACACTACAAGCCACTCCTTCGCCTTGAGCCCTGTGGAGGGGAATAAAATATTTTTGGGGTGAGCTAGAAGCTCAGCGAGTAACCAGTAAAATCAGTTATCAAATCAGTTTCACAATCGTTCATTTCAATAATGTCATTTCAATATGGAGTATCAATAATTCAAGAAACATTTACAATGGAAAGCAATAGTAATATTCATGAAAAGGATACGTTCGTTCTCCTGTCATTTCATTTCATTGGGTTTCATTCGTGCATTCATTCACCCCGTCCCTGGTTTTTGGCCAGGCTCCACCAACCTACAAGGTAATACTCGAGTATACCGAAACGTTCACCCAAGTTCCTAGTCGCCCGACCGAGTCCGCTTCTGGCTCGAGACGACCGGTAACAAGGGGCAATGGCTAGTTCAGCCCAAAAGGCTTACATTCATGCGCAAGTAGCATTTAATCATTAATCATTGAAACTTTCATATTTATTTAGGTCGAGTGCGATAAAGTACACACTCGCCTAGAAAACTCGTTTTAACAATCATTGAAAGCAAAATCAATAATAACAAGACACTGATATGCAAGCACGCATGATATGCAAGAAAACAGTTCCAAAAGTAACTTTGAAAACAGTTCAAAAGTAAATAATGCAAGAAATGGTTCATAAATAATTTTAGAAATAGTTTGAGGTCACTCACCTCCACGGCTCTGAAACCATCCATCATATTGCATTACTTCACTCAAGTCCAAGCCCTAAAGCACAAACGCAAAGCAATCAAGCCCATTCCAAATTCGGACAGCATTTCCCCTGAATTTGCTAACGTTTCCAGCCATCACGGCTTCATTATATCCTCAGCCAGTCCCAAAGGTACACACACAACAACAAGTTCATCCAATAGCCATTCAGCAAGCTCCAAGTAGTACTAGTACAAGTCAAGCTAGGGAAAAGTCCGGAAATGAAAGTTTAGCTCAAACCAGAAAAACAGTTTTGACGTCATTTTGCGGTAATGGTACCAAAGGTACTACGAGTATCGGATGGAGGTCCAAGACCCACCGTTTCGAAGCTAAGAACCAGGGCTACAACAATGTAGAAGGCCACTCAGTCCAAATCCTAGCACAACTAGGTCAAATATGCAAAATACCAAACCAGAACCGTAATTGCAGGTTTGCAAATCACACTATACTGTAATCAGTACAAATCAGTCTAAACAGGTCCAAATGCAGAAATTCCAAAGCCATATGGTAGCTAGGGCATCAAGATACATTTCATCAGAAGACCTCAACAACCAAATCCAAAGCAATTCCAGTCAAAACAACCCATTTCAGACGCAGTTCTAACATCCTGATGAACCCAGAACAGCAATAGTAATTTCGGCTTATCTCATTCTACACTACTCCGATTGACCTGAAATTTTGTAGGCACATTTAAAATATCATTCCCTACAACTTTCATGTTTTAAGCCAAGGCCAATTCGGCCTATATCTAGGACCAAAAATTTCGGACAGAATGAAGAACCAAGAACCCTAATTTTCCAGATTTCTTCCAAAACAGAATTTACTTGCAATCTTCCACTTTTTCCACCTTCTAGAATCATTATATACCATTTCCAATCATCATAGATAGCCACACAATCATGCTTATATTAAAACAGAAAAATCCCCAAAAATAATAAAACTTCATCATTCAACCAAAACTCAAGATTTAATCCATAAAATTGCATCTCATACAACCTCTAAGCATGATTTAAGCATCAATTAAGGGAGGAGGGTGGTTCTTCACAACTTACCTTGAACACAAGAGAGAGAGAGCTATTGGTCACCTTAACTTTCCAAACAACTCCACCAAACAACTCACAAACACTAAGTGAAGAGGTTTTATGGAGTAAAACTAAAATTAAACGGTTAAAAGTGAAGATTAAGCAAGCTTGGAGCAAGGAAATTGGAGAGCTTTTCTTCCCTTATTGCTTGAAGGTGGTCAGCCATATGAAGCTTAGAAATGAAGATATTTTGGGTCATTTTTGGTTATTTAAGTCAATGGTAAGAAAGGTCTTAAGGTAAGCCCAATCAAATGGTGACACTTGTCACCTTTAGGTTTAAAACTTATCTTTTTGTCTCTCCAATACAAATATCTTAATACTTTGTAAAATAATATCACTTAATACAAAAATCCAACAAGTTGTCAAAAATATAATGCATTTACCGCACTTGCGGGTCCCACGTCCAAAATACGCTTTTAATTTCTCAAAAACTAACCGATACTAGAAAAATCATTTTAAAACTATTTTTGCTCATAAACTTTATCTGGGGAATTTTTCTAATCAAGAAAATGTAGAAAAGACGGGCGATTAAATAAAATAAACCCTAGAAAATTAGAAAATTTCCGGGTTCTCAAACTCTTGTTTTTTTTCGGGGCGTCACAATGACACCTTATTTTTTGCAATTTAGGTTTGCATTGTGACGACCTGGGAAAGCGTTGTCACTGAAATGGGCCCTACAGTGACAACTTACAATATCGTCACAATAGGGTAGTTGGTTCAGAACTAGTGACAACAATTAGTCGTCACTATGTAAAGTGCTTGTTCCTAACTCACTTTCATTAATTCTACTATGCCACCCTAATTTTTTCAATATGGCCCATATGTTGTAAATAAGTTTTATTAATTATGTTATGACACCCTAATTTTTACATTTTTGCCCAAATAAATTTTATTAATTATGTTATGACACCCTAACTTTTACATTTTAGCCCCATATGCCACCCTAATTTTTTAATAAGGTCCATATCTTGTAAATAAATTTTATTAATTATGTTATGACATCCTAACTTTTATATTTTAGCCCTATATGTGGTAAACTAATCTCATTAACTCTACCATGACACCTTATCTTTTGCAATTTAGCCTCATATGTGATAAATCAATTTCGTTAATTCTATTATGGTACCCTATGCTTTACACTTTACACTGTGTTTATCATTGGCAAAATGAGGAAGGTATTGTAATAAAAATGTACCCATATTTTTAATTGTTCCAAACTTAGCTAATAAATTGTTATAAATTTAAAAAATATCATGGATTCGTTATTTATTTCTTTTGACAACATATGGGAAATTACTAATTAACATAGTGCGAAAATAATGGGAAAGAATAATAAAATTTAATATGAAATTAAGTAAAAATCTTGACAATTGCATGACTGGAGTTTATTATTAATTACAATTTACATTAGTCAAATTGTTTATGGTTTATGAATTGATACTTGTACCAAATACATTTAGTGTTTCATGCATGTAGTAGCAAACTATTTTGGTTATTTGATCAACTTAACAGATTGTTAGGTCTTTTCAGACCACAATTCATGCATAATTGATAAAATTATTAAATTGATACCAAAAATATTTGCATTGAAAGATCTTTTTTTGAATCATAAACATATTTTTAATAAGCCTTTTAGTTTTTGAACATTTTTTTTTTGTAGAGATACTAAAAAACCTATGTTAGTAAAAAAAATTCAAAAACACTAAATTTTCATATTCCAAAGTTTTAATACAACAAAAAAAAGTTTTAATACAACTTGTGAGCTAAAAAAGCTCAAAATAATAAACAATCTTAATTACACAAAGATTGGGAAAAGAAAAAGAGAGAGAAGGCATTATTTTTATAAAAAAAAGGTTCAATAATTTAGATAGAGAAGGCGTTACTTTTGTCTTAGCAATAGTGGAAGCGGGAAGTAAAAAATTGAAGGAGTAGAGGCGGGATTCTAAAAGAAGCAAAAACGACATCGTTTGTCTTAGAGTTGGAAGAAAAACACACAACAACACTTAGCCAAATTTCAGACAAAACTTCATTTCCCTCTTTCTTTGCCTTTAGACACCATCATCTTCTCCTTCTCTCCACTATCGTCTTGCTGAAATTACAGAGAAAATCACTCTAAGCTACCATTTTCGTCCCTAATCATCCCTAAATTGTGCTACCCAAAAGATTTGGGCAGCTTTAGTAGAGTAGCAGATAGCAAAAATCCCTAATTTGGAGCAACACTTGCTTGCTGGCCAGTTCAATCTCTTTTCTTCGGGTGGTGATAAGGAATCCGAAGCCTCTATCCTCATGTCCTTGCTTGCTGCCCCATAAAGAATGCTAACCGCCACCGGCATTTGATGCCATCCGGATGATAAGCTGCACAGGTTGAGCCGGAGGGCGCAGCAAGCAATCGTTCGTGAGCCCCCATTTCGGTACTCAGGGTGGGTTGGTAGCCCACAACGGAAGGCATTCTACCCAATAAGGCCGTGACTCAGACCGAGAAATGCACTGGAGTACCGATGTGTATCATGCGCCCCACGCCTCCTATTTGTTGAGGGCGGGCGGTGTGAACTCTGATTCGATCCAAGGCAAGAGCACAGAAAATTGACCATGAATTTTGGGGAAAAGCCAGAGTTTGAAGATTGAATCTTTAGGAAACGAAGACCTAAGGTTGTCACGGCATAATTTGAGGTAAATAATCTCAATATTTTCCATCTATTTTCGATATTTTCTGTCCAATATAGGTCGTGTGAGCTGAATGTTGAGTTGTGAGAGTGAAATGAAGTGGAAGGGTGGGTTGTGAGCTAAATCTTGAGCTGAATCTTGGAAGGAAGGGTCTCTAGTTCTTGTCTGCATTGACATGTTTTGTTTTGATTTGGCTGGATTTCACGGTCTAATCATTCTTTCTTATATGATCTTTCTGTACAGTGAATTTGTTCAGTTTATATGGTCGTTTTAAGCTGTTTTTCTTGTTTCCTTTGTCCATTTCCAGAAGAATGCAATGATTGGGGGTGCATTAACATGAGCTTTAATATCGGCAGCTAGTAACAAGAACAAAGACAAGATTGTGATGGATGCCATGCATTCGGTAAAATTGAGAGCATGAACATTATATGTTAGGGAGTTAAGTGTCTTCAAGAAGCTTATTAGGTGCTGATTATAAGACATATGCATTGCACTGCACAATCTTTTACAGATGCCTTTAGATGATGTGTTGCTTTCTCTTGTCATGTTGCTTTCGTTTCTATTATACATATCTTGTCTGGATACTCATTAGGATTGATTTGGTCAATCAGGATTGATTTGGTCCTTTCCTATTGATCTTGGCATTGTCAGTTTGATTGTTTGTTATCTTCTTCTCGTGGTAACTAGGTCAATTCTGTTTATTCTACCATGCTAAGAATTTATTTTGAGTGACAAAGTTTTACTTTTTATTCACAATATTTCAACATAGTGCTAGCTTCTTTATGAAGAGGAACAAAGGGGGTGGTACTTGCCTCTTGACAAAAGAAAGCATCACGTTAAATTTTAAAATTTTCTTAGAGAAAAATACTCAGTTAATTATTTCAATGTTGTAGCATGACATTCTTGGTCAATGTAACATTTCCAAAAAATCGATAAACAAACAGAGAATTGGACAATCCTATGTTTATCCTCAATTGCAGTGCATTTTGAAGCTTAGACTTCAACTGTTCACGACCTTTCCTTTTCCTTAACGGACACAACAGTTTTTTCTGTAAGATCCAAATGTGGAGCTTAGAGTTGTAATTATTACAGGCTTCTTCCTTTATTGTTCACACAAAATCTGGCTTAACAATAGGTCTTTTGTTGTGGCTAATGTGGTCCAGCATTAACTGGAGGCAGCAAAGAGCCGTGCTGGAACAAATGAATTCTCCTCCAACTTTTTGCAAGTCAGTTAACAAAACAATTTAATTCGCTAAAGGAGTATGCTATCTCCTGTTAAAGTACTTGGGATACTTCTCATGCAAAAAATGCCACCATCTTGGCTAAAAGTCCTTATTTGTGTCAAGCCGAGCAGTTGGTCCTCAAATCATTAAGAAGATCTTTAAAAGAAAAACATCCATTTTCCTTTGTTTGACAACTGCTTTGTAACCTTAATCTCTGATTGTAAAAGTTTGCCAAATGTTTTCCGATATTCTGGCTTCTTTGTTTCACAATCTCATCTTAAAATTGACTGTCATGCAACCCCTTTATACCCTCTAGGCACATATATATAACTTTCTTCATTTTTCTGTTTTTTTAACTTTTAGTGATGGAAATTTGCTTGCCTTCCACTGCCAAATGTCATATCTAATTACATTTTAATGTCTTGCGCTTTGTCTGTGTGCTTTTTTGGGCTTTTGAGCTTTCTCTTTGGGTCCCTGTTTTGTTAATTATGTTGATTTCTTAAATAAAATAAAAATCGAGGAGATCTCAGTGTGGTTAATTCACCCATCATTCTTTCCTTATATCTATAGAGTTTTTAAAGTGTAGCCACATAATTCTAAAACAAAAAGGAAATTTCATGTTCTTGTTCCCCAAAAGTTCAATCAGATGCGTGCACTATCAGATTAGCCTCGGTCTTAAATAGCATCTGAAATCAATTTTCTATACCACATGAAGTGAGGGACATAGCAATTTTTGATACACAAGGTCTTTCTTGTACTAAACCATTTCACATGAAACATCGAACTAGAACTAGGTCGTGATTTAACATTCAGGCACGTCTCATATTACACATTACTTCTGCACTAGAGCATAGTAATAACAGCATCAGAAGATGCTGATCTGTCTCGGGACCAAACCATGCTAATCCGCTTTTTTAGGATGTTTTGTTTCTATTGAAATATGAGATTTAGCATTTAGCAAGATGATCATAAGGCCACGTAGGCCTGCTGCCTTGCTTTGTTTTATACTCCAATTACATTTTAGCCAATTGATTAGAGTGATTACTTTTAAGACTACAAGTTTATGTTGCTCTAAAGAGCCTAAATGTCTATTGTATGCATGAATGTTAGAAGATTCGTGACAGAGGGGCAGTTCAAAATACTCCATATTTCCTCCGCATGTTATTCTAGTTGTCCACTAGGGAATCAAATAAATCATGAAAAGCAAAGGAGGATACCCATTTGGGCATTTTTTTCTGCTCACAGTGCTAAACCCATAAACGAAAATATAAGTATATTCCTTATAAATATGAAAAACAAGGCAGGATAGGGCACTTTGACTTTTTTGCTTTTCGATGTGCTTTGGTCATAGGTGAAAAAGTAACTATACTCCTTGTAAATATGACGGCTTTGAAAATCTCCGTCAAAGATGCAAAAATTCTGAATGCCATTGATGTGATGGATAAATTCCCAAATTAAAAACCCAAAGTTGTGAGCTTTTCTTGAATGTTTACTGCTTGCAGTTTGGTTTATTGTTTTAGTTTTTGTTGCATGACCCTGAGATTTATGTGGTTTTGATGTAAGAGCTGAAGAAATATTTAGCCTTTTCATCTGAGCTTTACTTTATTCTAGGATATATTGCTCTCATCTGCCACAGTTGATGTTAACATGTGTAGAACAGCTGAGCTGAAGTGATATATTGCTCTCATCTCTGCTTCTTTTGTTGTGGTAAGCATTAAAATTATGTCTTCAAACCGTGAATGGCTACTTCTAATGTTTTTATTTGTTAATGGCTGCTTTTGATGAACTGGCTATTGTCTCTGCTTCTGGTGCAAATTGCTGGATTGGCTATTGTCTCTGCTGTATGCTTTAATTTATACTGTCTCATTGCACTATTTCCAAGTATACTTGTAGGTTCTATACTGGTTTCTTGAATGATTTCTTTGGTTTTTGTTTAGATTCATTGACCTGTCTCTATGAACCAACATTGCCTTTGTTGCAGCTGCTTTACACTAGACTCAAGAGATAATTAGGGGCATTTATACCTCTATTCTTCTGATTTTTCATTACTTGTTAGGTAACTTCTTTGAACTATATTTTAATATATTGTTTTTCCTTGTTGAACGTGAGCTTTTACTAGATAGCTTCTGCTTTTTCCCTTGTTGATTATGGAAAAGTCAATCAGTTGCTATTAACAAACACATAATCTAATTAGAAACTTGTTCCAATTCTGATCTTCATTCTCGACCAATAGATAAATTCTACCCGTCAACTACACATTAATGCTTTTGCATTGTATGCAAAAAATGACTTTCTTTTTAATAGTTCTTAGCTTCTTGCCTTTGTCCAGTCTACTCAGACAACCAATTAATCACTAGGCATTCTTGGTATAGTGACTAAAAGCTAAAGAATCCATGGAAACTCAAACCAAATCAAATGACACTCTTCCACCGACCCATGTTCGAATCACTTGTCGGTCTCTCTTTTAAAGGATGCAACTAGAACAACACTAACAGATTCATGGTTGCTGCCACTTAACAGTTCTATTCCTTGTTCCTTCCAAATGAAATTCATGGACGATTGTCTAAGTTAGCAAAAGTATGCATTTTAGCATTTTTTTCCATTCCCACTAGTTCTATCTTATTATACTCTCGATCAAAGGTTTTAAGGATATGAATATGTCACATGTTTTTTTACCATCTTATTATACAGATTCACATTAATTATAGATAATCATGTGAAAATGTCATACTTATTTCTGGTTGTAATGTGTAGTTAAATATTTGTGACTGGATTTTTGGGGGGGGGGAAATTAGTTTAACAGGGAAGATGATGGTGAAGGAAGTCTTTTTTTGTATGACTATTCATTCAAATTCAGTAGTGTAAGGTTGTAATAGCATATTTTCTTACTAAAGTTTACTCTAATGCATTTAATAGTTTATTTTCAATGCAGTCTAGCTTCATATTGATCATGAGGAGGCTCTTGGATATGATGATAGAGATGGTTGAAGTCTTAACATTGGTGCTGCAGTCTATGCTTTAGTTTAGAAATCTAGTACTCTATATTTTGGGAAGGATATGTACTGATTATGTGGAATTTGGGACCCAACATTTGTGGTTTACTTTTGTTTTGATGAATTTACAAATGTTTATGGCCATATATATGAATTTGTGGCTTTATTCTATGTTGATTTTGCCTTTTGTCAAATTGAATGTTCTGCTATAATTGTTGAAAATGCCATGGCAATTCTATATTTGTAATGGTCAATTTCAACTCTTGAAGACAAAACTCAGTGAGGTTGTCACTAACATGCAAGTTCACTAAGTCTATTATCAAATTGAATGTTCTACTATAATTGTTGGAAATGCCGTGACACTGCCATAGTTGTAATGATCAATTGTAGCTCTTCAAGACAAAACTCAGTGACAATCTTCAAAGGTTATCACTAACATGTAAGTTCACTAAGTAACGACTATTTTTGTCGCTGAATACTAGGACTGATAGTGACGAGTCCAAGTCATCACTGTAGACTTCAAATTTGTGACGACTTTTGCTACATTTATGACAAAAAAAATGTGAAACAGTGACAAGAAAAGTCGTCATAGAATGATAATCATTAGTGACGACTTTGTCCTTGTCATTGAATAACAAGATTTTGAGACGACTTTCACAGGGCTGTCACATTGATCTATTTGTGACATAAAATCAGTGACAACCACGTGACAATGGAAAAAGTCGTCACTGTACTCGTATAATGATGACAGTTTGGTTTTTAGTGACTACTTTTTGTTGTCAAAAAAGGGCAAATTTCTTGTAGTGTTCCTAATAATCAATAATTGAGTAATTAAGCAAAATCTTAACAAATTGTATGAAAATAAAGAAAAACCCTAAAATTTATCCGAATCAAATCCACGCAAAGATCAGTGGTCAGATTCACGCTCGGATTGGATGCAAAGAGCGAACCAAGAATAAAAACAACATGAAATGCTTGAAGGGATGGGATCCATGACTCAATCCATGGACGAATCCAATGGATCCAAGCGCGAATCCATCAATTCTTCATTTCCTCGACCATGATCAACATGCAAAATTCATTCCATGCAAGTCCAACACCTTCTAAGTGTTTGTATGGTCCAAATTGATCTTGAACGGCTCGATCCAATGCTTGAAGTGACTCTTTAACTTTCTTAGCTTTTGCACGAGTAAACGAATCTGTTGGAAGCTTCATCAGATCAACACTTGAAGTCAGGGCAGCTTGATCAACCATATCAGTACCCGAAATCTTTCTAACACTTACTAAGTTATTACATATGTTCATGGGGTTAATCTTTTATAAGTTGTATACAATAATATTTGGATATATGCAACTTAATTTGATTTTAAATTTGAACTTTAATTTTTATATATGTGGCATGCATCTAAACCCGTCAATGTCTACATTGATGGTGTATATATGAAAGATTAATCCATCTTTATGATAGTGAGTTACCATAAAGTTTTAACACAGGATTCTAGTAGTAGCATGAATACCCTAATTTTGAAAGTTGTAGACATATTAAAACTCTCTCAATTCTTAATTTTTATCATTTGATATATTTAAAGATCGCCAAAGGTGAAAATACCTAAATATAAGGATAAAGAGATAAAATAATGACAGTCGGAAAACTTAGTAACTAAGAATTGCGTGCAACCTTTTCTAGTCTCCATAACACATGCGTCATGTATGTTATTATAGGCCAAATAACAAGAAATTCATTAGGTCACGGTGTATTTTTTTGTGTGATGTGCGACCCTTTCAGAATCCACATATGCATATCTAGTCAATAAAGGAGCTATATTGGTTTCCTCAAAAGAAAAGGATCTATGTTGGAAAGGCTCTAGTTGTGATTGAGGAGGTTTACACATAGAAAGATGACAGTCATTATTCAAAGAGTGCAGCCTTCACTACGTTAATGCTTCTAGGAATCCAATGCTCAAAACAAACGAAGGAAGAGCACCATCCTAAGCATGTTAAAAAAATATATCATATCCAGCAGCATTAACCATGAACATAAAAACAATTAATAAAGTTTGTTGCTAAGGAGATATTGATATAGTAGTTAAACTCGAGATTTCAAAATTTAGAGATTTCAAATTTAAATTCTTCTACTTCTTCCCCCTTCTTAAATCGCACCCTTTTTCTACTGAAAAAAACAAAAAATAATAATAAAGTTTGTCAACAACAGAAAGCTGAAAAAAAGAAAAGGTTTGACTTTCAAAATCAAACTTGCAGTCGAAAAACGAGAGGCTAGATTGCAAAAACAGATGAAACCAAAGAGAAAAAAACTAAAGTAGCCTATCTGGTCTAAAAAAAACGTATAAATTGCCACGTAGACCCCTCCCTGTGTTTGAAGCCTCGGCTTTAGTAGTATTTCGCTCGTTGAAGTGTCATTATTTGACAATACAAACGCTTGAATGAATTCAACATCATTCATCCCTGGATTATGCATTAATGAACTAACATCTTTAGTGCAATTTCAACTCCGTACAGGAGTATTCCCTTCCGTTTCTGCCACCCGCCGCTGATGCTGAAAAGATGGTGAAGTACTCAAGGGAGCCCGATAACCCTACCAAGTCCTGCAAAGCCAGGGGATCTGATCTCCGTGTTCATTTCAAGAACACAAGGGAAACAGCGCATGCCATCAGGAAGCTGCCTTTAGCGAAGGCTAAGAGGTACTTGGAGGATGTTTTGGCCCATAAGCAGGTGATTCCGTTTACACGTTTCTGTGGAGGTGTTGGGCATACTGCTCAGGCCAAGAATAGGCATTCAAATGGACAGGGTCGCTGGCCTGTTAAATCTGCTAGCTTCATTTTGGATTTGCTCAAGAATGCTGAAAGCAATGCAGAGGTGAAAGGCTTGGATGTGGATTCGCTTTTCATTTCTCACATTCAAGTGAATCAAGCACAGAAACAAAGACACCGCACATATCGTGCCCATGGAAGAATAAACCCCTACATGTCTTCCCCCTGCCATATTGAGTTGATTTTGTCCGAGAAGGAAGTCTGTCAAAAAGGAGCCTCAATCACAGTTGGCCACCAGCAAATCTAGGAAGGCTTAAGCTATATGTAATGGTGCTTTCATTGGCAATGGCTTTAGTGGATTCTACAAATTTTGAGGCATATTGTTACTTAATGCTATTGGAGGTTGCAAGACAAGTTTTGCTGGTGTTTAAATTCAACAAGTTCATTCAAAGACCTTCAAAGACATAGTTTGACTTGTAGAGACAGCTTTTTGTTCTTCATGATTGTCGTCTTGCTTTTTTTGGGTTGGATGTTATGGTAGTGTTGGATTATTTATCAAAAAAAAAAAAAAGAAATTTCAACTCCGTGACTGTGCTAACAAAAAAAACAAAATCTACGCATTAGTATAACATAGATGTCTTACACTTGTTTGTTCAAGAAAAAAAATGAATTTTGTTTGAAATTCTCTTCTTTTACATCAATGTGGATTTGATATTTTCTTTCTATTTAATTAGAGCTTGGATTTGTAATGCCGTGTCATGTGTTCCTATTGCTTAGACCTATTAAACTTGGATCTGCTATAAATATTTAAACAATTAGACAGGTGACAGAGTAAAAGAAGGGTCGAAGCGGGAGCAGCGGGAGCAAACAAGATTTCAAAGCCAAATCCATAAAAGCAATTTTTCATGCATGTATTTGAATAACGTTGACATTCTCATTTGTGTCTAATTCTTCTATTTATTTAACCCTTTGGCTTGCTACACACTGGTCAAAGTGAATTATTAGGTCTAAATGAGATTCAACAATTTCCCATGCTAGAACACAAGCCAAATTATACAAAATCCACAAACAGAAACCATACTGCATGCATCAACAACGAGAATGATAACAAGATAGTAAACTCTCATACGACTATGTTCATCTTTCTTTCACCTGGAATCTTGAGTGTATATGTATGACTTGTCTGCGTGAAAATGTGGTTGGACTTCAACTGGCCGTTTACTGGACAAAACCATGCAAGTTGTAAAGCCGAACGTCTGTCTTATTCCAGGCCAAGCATAGTACTGCAGAAGGAATCATGGCAGCTGTTGTGGAAGAATAGACTCCTCCGAAGTATAGAGAATTGGGACTTTGAAGAGGGATTTTCTCTCAGGAGTTTTTGCTAGTTTTACATTATTTTTCTTTTTTTTGTAAATTGTGGTGTTTTCTTTTTCTTTGATATAATTGAGGCTGGTGGAAGCTGTTTTTTCTGATCATGAGTACAAATTTTAAAGTTTGTTATAAAAAGAAAAGGTTGTAGAGCCAAAAATTGATTTGACTGAAAACTGCTATGGCTTGTCAGATAAACATTTACAGAGCCAATTTGACATACTGGCCACCTTCATCTGGTAGAATCTTGATGAAGGTCGACAGAATGCCAAATTGTTTCTGCAACATGTTCTCTCAGAAACCAGAGTGTATGTGTGAGAGAGAGAGGATATGTCAAGCGTACTGCCTATTTCTTGGGTTCTAGATCAAGAAGGTGGCTTGACAAGAAAAGGAAAAAATGCACTTTTCAACCCTACGGTTTGGGGGTTGGACTAATTTGGCCCCCATTGTTTCAGCAATAAAACACATTTGATCCCTTAAATTTTGATTGTTGACCAATTTGGAGTAATTGTCTATTAACCACTTAATTTGGAAGAAATAGAATGTATGAGAGAGGCACGCAACATTAGTAAAAAGACAGGGGCGACAAAAGTTATCAGACCCTCAATATTCATTGGATAAAATTTATCAAAGTTTAAATATAGTGTGGATAAATGTGCTGAATGGTTGGAGGTAAAACAATCATATGGAAGGTAAAATTAGTCGAGTCTGATGAGTTTTCTCTTCCCAAGCTCTTTGTACTAACTGTGCATTGCGCCTCACGCATTTTATTTCGTCCAAATTAAGTGATCAAACATCAATTTCTGCCAAGTTGAGTGATTAAACATCATGGTCAAAAATTGAAATTTAAGAAATGAAATTTCATTCTCCAGAAATAATGAGGATCAAATTAGTCCAACTCCCAAAGAATGGGCACGAAATACGCATTTTCCCACAAGGGAAACTGACTATAATAACCTGAGAAAATCTGAGGCTGCCTGTATGATACCTTATATATTAGTACAAAATTCACACAGCGAAAATAACATTAAAATC